GAGATTCACTAGTTTCATGGAAATAAAAAAACAAAGTATCATATCGAGATCTTCAGCAGAAGCTGAGTACAGAAGTATGGCAGTGACAACATCAGAACTGGTTTGGTTGCAAGGGTTGTTAAAGGTGCTTGGAGTCAACAATAATCAACCTGCAAAGATCTTTAGTGATAGCAAAGCAACCTTACAAATTGTAGAAAATCTAGTGTTTCATGAGAGAACAAAGTATATCGAGATAGACTGTTATTTCATAAGAGAGAAAATTCAACAGGGCTTGGTTCAAACAGAATTTGTACCAATTGCAGAGCAACAAGCGGATATTCTAAGAAAAGCTCTTGGCGTTGCACAATATAAGTATCTCTTATCCAAGATGGGAGTTAAAAATGTATTTCACTTCCCAACTTGAGAGGGAGTGTTAAGAATAAAAAAGTTGTTTGGGTAGTTAGAAGTTAGTTATAGAATTAGTTAGGCAGTTATATTGTAACTAGTTCTATTGTAAAAGCTATATAAATGGTGTATATGAAGTAAATTAATATACTGAGGCTTTTCCAGTAGTTTTCATGTTTTAACAGAGTGTGAATTTAATGTGACCAATGACTCTACTGAAGATGAGGTCATATTTGCGGTCCGAGCGTATCTTCTCCAATTGATTGGAAGGATATTGTTACTAAATAAACCCAATAATTTGGCACACATATGGTATTTTCTGATATTAAATAATTTTACTAAGTGTCGTAACATTAGTTGGGGCTCGACTATTTCTATATTTTTATACTGGGAACTTTGCAAGGTTACATTAGTCGAAAAGAGTCAAAAAGTTGATGTTGTGGTTTGTCTAGTCTTGCTATAGTCTTGGACGTGGTATTGGTTCCTGTTTTTGACGCCAATTACAATAGCCCCGTTGAGTTTCCTTTAGCTAAAAGGTATAATTTTTTTTAACTTTATTTTTAGTAACTTTTTAATTTTTATTTATTATATTATTTAGATGACGACATAAAATTACCAATATCAAGGTGTCTAGTGCAAATAAAAATGATATACGGATGATCATCGATATCGTCGGTCGACATGCGATAAATATTATTTTATTAATTTTTAATTTTTTTATTTACATTGACTTTTATAATTAATGTTTACATTTTTCCTAGATTCCGTATTGTGATGATAAGATCTACCAGTTACTGCCACTAGGATTTTTTTTGAAGGCTCAAAGTTGTGATATGTCATTGCTTTACTTTGTGATTGTTGAGATGCATGTCGCAGATAGAATGTTGCAACTATTTCTGTCCCATCAACCAATTCTTACGCAAATATTTGATATGAATGTGCTCCATAGAATTGATACGAATGGAAAGCATAAAGAGAATTGGTCGAGGAAGCACGATATATACATTTAACAATGAAATGGACAACATTTATTTGTCCTCATGTGTTTTGAAATTACAACTAATGACCTTGATTTCAACATTTCTTCCAACCTCTGAAATTACGAAGCAAATGAGAAATCATATTAACAATACTGGCAGAAAGGGAACAATGGGAAGAAATAAAGGCCAAATTCATAAAGGAGATCAGTATAATCGGGTTAGAGGTTCACGGGATGCAATGCAAAGCACTCAAGCATATTTGACATAGCATGTGAGTGATAAGATCATATTATATATGGTCAATAACAAGGTATTGATTTCGGTGGCCAATTCGAGTCAATGATGACGTCAAATACCTTAAGTACTCCATAATTATATTTTGAATGTGGATCTAAAAGTGGAGTGATGTTCAATACATCTCTCGTTCAAGAAGCAAACGAAGATGAACATGATTAAGATGGACGACCAAGATGTAATTGATGAGCCCCATGCCATTATCATCTAACCATTCCTCAACATCGTCAAAAATTAAGAAAATATAAAAAAAATATTATGCATTGTATTAGTTTGCAATAACTTTTATTATTATTATGTAATAAATTATTTTGTATTAAATCATTTTATTTTTTTTTTAAAAATTAAATTCGACAAAACTCATCATGTATAAGTAACGAGTTTCGACGTGACGAGTTCTATAGTTTTTTTTAATTTATTTTAATGTTTAAATTAATTACTGAATTTTAAAAAAATACTTTCCATGAGACTCGTCACGTCAACGTGATGAGTCTCCTAAATTATATTATAATATTTAGGGGTGTTAAAAAAAATTGAAACCATTAATTGTATCCATTAATCGGTATAATCGTTATATTTAACAGGTTAATTAACCGAACCGTTAATACTAAACGGTTTCGATTAATCAAACCGCTAAAAATTATGGTTAACGGTTAAGATTACGGTTACAAATTTTGATAAACAGTTTAATAAATTATATTTCTAATTTATTGTATTTTTACATAAATAACTTAATATAAGTTTCTATTATTTATAATTTATATATATTTTTAATAAAACTTATATACAAATAATTTCATATATATTTTTTATTTTTTATTTCTTTGAAAATATAGAAACATACTTATACTAATATTATTATATGTTTATTGTTAAGTACTAAGATATTGAGAAAAACATATACTTACACCGTTGTAAATATGTGTTAAGTACTACACTTTTTTATTTTATTTACTTACACCGTTGTAAATATGTGTTAAGTGTTACACTTTTTTATTTTATTTACTTACATTGGTGTAGTATGTGCTAAGTGCTACACTTTTTTGTTTTATTCACTTACATCGGTGTAAGTATATGTTAAGTGTTACACTTATTTATTTTATTCACTTAAACAGGTGTAAGTATGTGTTAAGTGCTATATTTTTTTTACTATAAATTATGAAAAGTAATTTGATAAATAATTGTAATAGGTTAACCTATAACCGAACTGTTAATAAAAGTTAATCGTTTTTAATGATTAGGTTACAGTTAGAAAAATCTCATAACCGTTATAACGTTTAACCAACCGTTTATGCTAAATGGTACATTTAACTCTCCATGAACAACCCTAATAATATTGACACACATGAGGTCTACTTACACTTAGCATTTGTCCTATTTTGCTAAATAAACTTCATTGTGGCCTATTAGGCCTATTAATTTTGACGCCTGAGATATTAGGCTAAAAACACCCCTCCTTCTTATCCTCCTCCCTTCATATTATGAGAATGTGGAATTCAACAATGTGTTCAACACTCTCGTTGACACCCCTCCTTCTTAGCCTCCTCCCTTTGTATTATGAGAATGTGGAATTCGACAATGTATTCAACACTCTCGTTGTTAACTGTTCCCGGTAACTAAAGGATTTGTATGTGTGTTTTGTCTTTTAGTAAGCATTTGTATGTGTTATAGATTATATAAATAATTAATTTTAATTATAAAAAATTTATATATGAAGCCAACAATCTCTAAAATAAGTATTTAAAATCTTTAAATAGAAGAAAATCAACTTGCGATACATTAGCAAAACTTGCTAGAAGTTCTTCTAATTCTACTGTTGTTTATATTTCTCCTACTAATATCATCGAACTTTTAGAAAGAGATCAGTTTCGTCCCCCTAATGTAAAAGTAATATTTTCCCTTTAAATACAATTACATATAAATTTAAAAATATATTTTTTATTTATTATTTATCATAACTTTTAAAAATAATAATATATTTAATATCTACATTTTAAAAATGTCTAATATAATACATATATTTTTAACTAAATATCTAATATTCATTTTACAATTTTAAATGCCTAATATGATATATAATTTTGACAAAAAAATTAGTATAATACATGGATTATCATTTTGTGTTATTATAGTATTTGTGAATTTTCATTAATTGATTTAATATTTATTAACAATATTAATCAAATAATGTGAATTGCCTGTCCAGCTCAATTGGTAGAGCTCAAGGCTCTTAATCTTGTGGTCGTGGGATCGAGTCATACGAAGGGCAATTCATAATTCGGAGGTCTCCCACGGAAGTTGCTCTCAACCTGACGTTGGGGACAACCTACTATCCTACTTCCCCTTACCCCATTACATATGGGAATAAGGGTCAACTAATTTTAATTAATCAAATAATGTAATGATATACTAAATGATGATTCATGTATGATATTTATTAATTAAAGTACCATAATATCATAAAAATGATTATTTAAGTATTACATTCGACATTTTGATAAAGCATGTATAATTTATAAAATAATTTGAAAACTTATATAGTATATTAATTATTTTTATCAATATATATATGTTACTATTTTATAAAAAAAAATATTAAATATTTTAAAAATATAAAAAAATTACATGAAATATTTTTTGTTAAAATACACGTACAAAATGTAAGATTATCCTAATTTTTATGATGAAAATACAAGGATTATGTTTTTGAGAAAAATGAAAAATATTCCACGATGGCCCACAAAAATAATGAGGTGGCTAAAGAAACAACCTTTTATCCAAAGCATTATCCGAAACTTCTTTTCTTTTTGTAAAATCATAGGCATGGCACGTGTTGTCAAATTCACTAATCATCTGCATCTCCAAACTACCATAAAAACCGCGGGTAACATTAAAACAACCAAAATAAATCAAGTTTTAATACTTAAACTATCATTTTTAGTTCATTTTAGTTTTAGTTCGTGTTCAAAATTTAACATTAAGTTTTTTTTAAATAAAAGTTTAAGTATTAAAATGGAAAAAACTGTTAATTTAAGTACTAAATATGTTATGTTTTTAACGACATGGTACCGAAGTGAAACAAAAACTAAATATTAGGTATGAATTTAAAAAAATTGAAAGTTTATATACTAAAACAAACTAAAACTGATAGATTAAGTACTGATTACGTAATTTACCCTAGAAAAATACCTTATCCAATACGTTTTCTGATACTCTTTTAGATAGAAAATTATCCATCACAGACCGTTAATTTACACCATGACAAAACGATCAACGGCTGAAGTTAACCTTTACACCTTAAAATAACAAACAAACCTGGCAAACCAAATCCAACTGAGAAAAAGAAATCACTTTTTGCAAAGAGCCTGCAAAAGAAACTCTTCTTCTTCCTCTCTATTATTATTTTTAATTTTCGTTGAGATTAAAGCAAAGGGTTCAACTTTCGTTCTGGGTTTCTGATTTTTGTTGCGAGAAAAAGAAAAACTAGCTATGGCAGAAGTTTTGGGGAAGGCAAATCTGTTTCCGACTGGTCACTATAGTCAGAAGAAGAATCTTGAAGGTGGAGCTTGTTTGGTTCCTAAGAAAATTTCTGGTTTTTGTTTGAAAACGAAAAGTTTTTCTTCTTTGATGTTGAAATCTCTCGCTTCGAGTAGTGATTTTAATGGTCAAAGAGTGGATTTTTTGGAGAAGAAAAATATGAACAAGAGAAGGTTTCCTCAAGTTCCCATCAAAGCACAGGTTTGATTTAATTGACTATACATCTTTTTTAATTCGATTTCCAGATCTGTGTCTTTCTTCTTATTTTTGTGGAAAACTGTGGCTATATTTTTATTTGTTTAGTGAATTAAACCTTTTCCGTCCCCATAGCTTGATCTGTTACATAGATCAATAAAGAAATACTAATTGGTTTCACTTTTCCACCTCTGGATTTGTTCAATGAAATCAGATGAAAACTGGACTTATTAGTCGAGGTCAAAAATGGTGGGAGAAAGGGCTTCAACCAAATATGAAAGAAGTTACGTCTGCACAAGAATTGGTCGATTCTCTTTTGAATGCTGGTGATAAGCTTGTTGTGGTTGATTTCTTCTCCCCTGGTTGTGGTGGTTGCAAGGCTCTTCATCCCAAGGTGCATGTCTATATATTTATACATGCTTTTGCATGGTTGTGTACATGTTTTTGTTTTGTTTTGATTTGGATTGTTTGTGGATTTGGATGTTGGATTTGACAGATTTGCCAATTTGTAGAGATGAATCCAGATGTTCAGTTTCTTCAGGTGAATTACGAGGAACATAAGACTATGTGCTATAGTCTTAATGTTCATGTGTTGCCTTTCTTCCGTTTCTATCGAGGCGCTCAGGGACGTGTATGCAGCTTTAGCTGTACCAATGCCACGGTCAGTCTCGAATCCTTCCTTTCAGATGCAAATTTTATCATACATGGTTCCATAGATAGATTCCAAACGAGCCTATTTTACCATGTCCTGCTCATGGTTCTTTATGTATGATGCACGCCCTTGAATGTATACGACTCTGATTTCATTACGAAAAAATGCTTCTTACTTTGGATCAACTGATCTTTTATTATTTTCTTTCATCAAAGATGTAATTGTTAGATGCGTTGAAATTTGCATGCTGCATATTTTTGTTGCTTTTGTTTGTTTTCTGAATTGTTCTGATTGCTGCTTATCAGATGCAGCTGACTTTGCAACTCACTCGACACTGCATGATTATTTGTTGGTAACCATCATTTTAGGATTGATCATGTTTATCATGGCATGTGTTCTAAATTACAATGACAATTCAACAGATTAAAAAATTCAAAGATGCATTAGCCAAACACACACCAGACCGATGCAGCCTTGGACCGACTAAAGGGCTCGAGGAGAAGGAGCTTTTAGCATTATCTGCAAACAAAGACCTTCCCTTCCTCTACTCACCGGAACCAGTTCAGCCAACTCCTGTTCCCATGCATGAAGAGACTTTTGTACCAAACCAAGATTCATCTCATTCAACGATAAAGCTCCCGCTTTCAGTCCCAACGACATCCTTAAAGCAAAGAGAAAGCGAGGAGAAAACCTTGGTTGGTGCTGGGAGATGATGTAGTATTAGTTTTTCTGCCACCCCGCTGTACAATATTACCGAAAACTATTCCCTGGTTTGTATTCCATGTACTAATATGTTAATGTTAGAAGTGAACAAGTGTATCTGGTCTCCCATGGAGTTGCTGGCCAATTTGGATTTTTTTTTTTGGATCCTAGCCCTGCTTGATTCAAAGGTGGGTGTGAGCTTTTGCAAACCATATCTAGTGAATATATTTTGAGGTTGTATTTTTATGTTCCCCTTTGTGAGTTAAAAAATCTTGTGGTTATTATATAGATGCTGAGAGCCTTTTTACCTTTTTATTCTCTCTTGGTGTTGAAATCAGGATAATGAGTATTTTGTATTTGGCATCTTTAAGGACACAACTATGAAGGGAATGCATGCTATGTTTATTTTGTTTTGATGTATTCTATGTTAATAATATCTAGTAGTTTTGGATGGTCTACAACTCATGGAAGCTTCAAGAATTGTCTGCAATGAATTGGACATCATCAACCACTGCTTTAAGATATTTGCTAGATTGTCTCTTTTTATGGCAATGCCAGAAACCCAGAAGAGGGCCACAACATATTCAGGTTACTAGTTTTTCACCGGCAAAACATTGCGAATTCTGCAGTTATAATTATTTTTTTGTTTATATATATAACGATAAATTTAATGATTTTCATTATATACTCTTTCGAAATGTTTATATATATTTGTCATGAATTTGCATTTATGAATTGAACCTATTACCCTACTGTTTAGTTTTAAAAAAAGACAGATGGCAAAGAAGTAGATCATTTTATAAGAAATGTTGGATAAGATTGCTTGTGCATTTAAATTCATCATCGTGGCCACCCTTGCTTTTCAGAGGGGGAAAAACCTTTGAATGGTTAGTGAAAAATGTGGGGTATTCTAACAACTGGATCCGCTAAGAAATCTTTCAAAATCTCAAAGCATTTATTATTTCCTTCCAAGTGTTCAACATGTTGAAGAAGCTTTGTCAAATGATTTAGTCCTTGAGATGCTGGATGCACGAAACGTGTCTTTCTTACCAGACAAGAAATTTTGGTCACTGTCAATTGAGTTGGGTTTTTATTTGACACCACTGGACCAACCATCTCATCACTCAATAATGTCACTCAATCGTTTTATATGGATAATATGAAAATTCAAAACTGAATGTTGTTCTTAATGATTTATCTCGGAGATTAAAATTAAGCTATTCCTTTTTATAACATTGATCAATTTAAATGAAACGTAGTCATAGAAAGATCTCAGGAAAAGCAGTGCAGCCGAAGATAATTTGTCGACTTTCAGATTTGTCGGAATCGAAGCCGGCAAATCGTTCTTGGCTGCACCCATCTCTCTACGCCCAGTCGCTAGGCCGTTGGTGAATGGTGACACCACATATATCAGACTTGAATTAAGAAAAAGAAGGAACTGATCATTGAAGAAAGATGAGTTTGTGAGTTATCTGAATGAGCAAACAAGAAATGGAACATTGAAATAACGTAGATTAAAACCATGTAAAGTTGAGTTAATAGATTGATTATTTGTTCATACAGATTGTTGCAACGATCATATCAAAGCTCAAGAGTTTGGTTTGGAGATCAAATTTGGAATTTCATGAGTTGGTGAAGTGTGAATCTTAAAAGCGAAGTTATAGATTGCTTTCTTGTGTTTGTATCTGTTATTTTCTTCATCATAATATAGCCATGGAGAAAAATGCTGAAACCAGAAATGGAAGGCAGAGATTTGTGGCAGATGAATACAAGGAGAAGGATTATCTCTAATGAATTGCCTGTAAAATCAAAGGTGTTTACCCAATTTAGATCCCGGGAGCAGTCAACAACGATGGTGCCGAATACATGGCCGAATCCCACATTCTTAGAATATAATGTGACGAGGCTAAGAAGGAGCTTTTAAAACAAGCCGGGTTGGACAGGAGAATTCATACCTTTCTCGGCCTTTTGGCTAAGATCAAGTGTAGTATCTGTTCTTATCAGTTTAATATCTGATACGTGGGCCATCGGCCCACAAGATATTAAATTTATTTTTATGGGGGAGGATCCATCACAGTAGCTTGCTACTGGGGTTCCTCGCTCGTCGCCCAAGCTTTGCACTATTGCTGGGGCCTGGCGCACCCCACCCAATTCTAGTTATAATGCTTGGAGATTGCTACTGCAGTTTCTATTGTGTCTTCAATTCTAGTTAAGAGATAATTAAGGGAGCAGAAGAAAAGAATTTAGCAAGGAAGCAGAACCTGTCTTGGACATGTATACCATTTGATTGGCCATCCCAGTTATCCCAGAAATCTTTTCCATGTACGATATGGCTAAAAGTAACATTCATTCCCCCTGTGCAAGGCACCAAATCTTAGTCAAACAAACAGGATGAGGATTGTAGGTGTGCTAGGAAACACATCAAATTGAATCTAACTTGGATCAGAACTCAATCCTCTCAATGATGGGATCCGGACTCAACACTCTTTGCATATGAAAATGGGCTTGATTTTAGTCAACACTCAACACTCAGTAGCTATCGGTTGAGTGTTGATTTTATATTAAAATTAAAAGTTCAATTTTCATTTTATAACTTTTGAAAGCTGAGTGATTAAAAAAGAATATTTCAAAATAATTTAATGATTCTCTCTCTCTCTCTCTCTCTCTCTTATTTAGTTTGAATCTTTTAATTATTCATTATTAACAATAAATAAATAAACAATTTCTTGTATCTTTATTCAACAATAGTCTTAGTGAAATACATTTTTGTCTTACCCGGTGCAGAGCAATTATTTAGTATCATTTGAAGAGAATAATTAATATTTGTTTCATTGGGCGTAAATTAATATCATGTTTGGTATTGACCTTAAACTAGATCCAATAAATATATTATATTTATGTAGTTAACAGATTGAAACTTTGAATCATATGAATAAAATAATCATATATCAATTGTTTCTTATACGTTTTCTAAGATAAACTACATGTTTAGCACATAAATTATCATTTTGTTTTGTTTTAATGTCTAAATTTTCATTTTTTTTAATTATACTTAACGTTTATTTTTGTTTATTTCTAATACTTGTCCTTAAAAATTTAATGATAGTGACATTTTTAATATCTAAAATTTAAAAAATTTCAATTTAACTACTCAACTTTTAAATTACTCTTGTTTTAATCACTTTAATTTATTTTATTATTTTTTTGACATAACATTTATTATTATATTAATATATAATAAAATAAAATAAAATTTAAAATTATATCCGAACTCAAATATTATATCACAAACCTTAAACCACAAGCGGCTTATCCCACCCTCACGGTTTCCCTCTATTCGGCCTCTCCACGTTAGAAACAGTAGGGTTCAGTGGCAGTAATCACGAGGTACGACGACTGGTGAGGGGAAGTTGGGAATAGACGGCACAGCCCGGTTTGGTGTTGCCTTCATTGGTAGCAAAGTGGAAATCGAAGCCGGCAAGTCGTTCTTGGCTGCACTCATCTTTTCTACGCCCAAACGCTAGAACGTTGGCACATATATCAGACATAACTAAATATAAAGAACCCTCTGATAACCGAAGAAAGATGAGTTTGGGAGTTATTTGAATGAGCAAACAAGAAATGTAACAGAGAAAATAACATATATTAAAACCAAGTATCATAGATTCTTCCAAAGTTATAGATTTCTTTCTTGTGTTTGTATCTGTTATTTTCTTCATCATCATATGGTCATGAAGAAAAATGATGAAACCATAAATGGAAGGCAGAGATTTGTGGCAGATTAATACAAGGAGAAGGATTCTCTCCAATGAATTGCCTGTAAAATCAAAGGTGTTTACCCAATTTAGATCCCGGGAGCAGTCAACAACGATGGTGCTGAACACATGGCCGATTCCCACATTCTTAGAATATAATGTGACGAGGCTAAGAAGGAGCTTTTAAAACAAGCCGGGTTGTACTGAAGAACTCATACCTTTCTCGGCCTTTTGGCTAAGATCAAGTGTAGTATATGTTCTTATCAGTTTAATATCTGATACGTGGGCCATCGGCCCACATGATATTAAATTTATTTTTATGGGGGGAGGAACCATCACAGTAGCTTGCTACTGGGGTTCCTCGCGCGTCGCCCAAGCGTTGCACTATTGCTGGGGCCTGGCGCACCCCACCCAATTCTAGTTCGAATGCTCATATCATAAATATTAGTCAAGCCCTTACCGTCAAGCAGTTTTCTTCAGGGAAAATTCGTAGCAGTTTTAAAAGACTAGTGAAACTACACTGTTTAAAATTTCATAGGCAAATTTTGCAGTCATAGCATTCCTGCAATAGATGTTCTTTATTCTGTGGCACACACTGGTATAATGTTTTAGTAGGCATCTCGATGAAGATTCACGCATGGAATGGAAACATACAACAAAAACCCGAAGAAGCTAATGTATAGGATTCTTCAAAGCAATAGATATAGATCGACTGCAGGCATGATACATCTTCAATGTATAACGAGAAGCACCTTATTACAAGCATCCTGCATTTATCACACCAGATATTTAGGAGAACCATAAAAGAACATGGTAGCAGAGATCATCAACATTTGACTCATATTCATGGGTTTATCATATGAAGGAAAAGGATAGTTAGAAGCTTTGCTGTGAAACTTACAGTATGGTGCAATCCTCCATATCTGGTTATCTCCCTTGTTCCATTGCCACAACACAATAGTAGTACCATTGTGGATGCCACCAGATTTCTTATCTCCATGGAAAGCATCGAAATTCAGGCGAATGTTATTAATCATTCTTATAGCTCTGTAGCCATCATGGACTTCCTTGCTATCGCTCCATAGTACAGACTCATCAAGATCTGGTTTGTAAGGTACCAGTTGGACCTGCAGGAAAAGCCCCTTTTAAGCAAAACTTTAAGGTTCATAAATTAAAAACGTTCTATGTTTTGACCAACTGAAATGAAATAAAACATAAAGATGAACAAACAAATTCTTTCCACTGCAGGAGTCAAGAAAGAAAGGGTCCGTGAAGTTATCAGCACCCCAGCCTGCAGGAATCGGAAATGCATGCATTTGGTTTTACCAGATAAAGGGATATTTTAGCAGTGGAAAAGCTGAATACCTATAAAATTATCGAGAATTGTTCTTGACCATGATAAGGCACTTGAATATTTCGAGCAGCAGGTAAACTACCCCAATATCGTAACAATCATATCATACTACAATAACAATATGCCACTGAATTGGCAGAACAGGTAACACCAACAAAAAATTGTGACTTGGATAATTCCTATATTTAACTTCTGCAGTATCTAACCAACCAATTAAAGCCTAATAAAAGGAATTGAAGATGGAGCTATTCCATAACCAATAAGTCGTATCAATCTCATGATGTAATTTGAAAGTGTGTCAAGTGTCAACTGTTAAACAACTCAAAACTCAAATCATATCTTAAAAGGAAAAAGAGGAAATGCAAGAGTTCTTAAGCGCAACGAAATACAAAGCAGAAACCCATTTTTCCACATAAGAAGGAACTAAAATAGCAGTGAATGCCATAAAGAATTCTTACAGGATGAGAAGCTCCAATGGAGTGTTTAATGACTTGACCAGTGGCTTTATTAACAAGAGAAAAACTAGGGAAGCCCACTTCATCTTTAATCCTTGTGCTGAATTTCTCATCTTTGTACCAGTGCTAAAACAACCACAAAAATCAACATCCATATCAAAATAAGATCATATGTTTTGCCCTAATCTTGAGTCAACAGTCAAAGGGGGCTTTTGGGTTGTCAATTAATGAGTTTAATAAACTCGTACGGCTTAGAACTACACAATACTGGGAAAACTCACAAAAAAAACCAAGTTGATAATTTTGTAGATTAATCCCCAAAAAATAAGTTAAAGAAAATTGTTAATCTGCTGATACAGTACCTGGAATTCATCAGAGGGATCATATGGAGCAAGAATAACTTTACCATCTCTGATCGTAAGATGATAATTAGGATCAGCTTTGCAATAGACTTTAACAGTAGGTTTGTTGTGGAATTCAGGTGGCAAATGAGATCCAGAATGATGATGATGATCAATCCTTCCATGGATACTTTCATGGGCAGCATGTGGAACAGATGGTGGTGGAGAGTAGTTCAATGAACTATGTTCAGGCTGGTGGTGGACATTAGTTCCATGGAATGGTGGTTGGTGCGGAGGGGGCGACGGAAAGCCCGGTTGCTGAAAGTATGGCGGTGCTGGTCCGTCAAAGGCAGGTTGCTGGAAGTATGGTTGTGGCGGTGGATATGGTCCGTCAAAAGCGGGTGGTTGCTGGTAGTTAGGCGGTGGCGGGTAGTGGTGAGACGGCGGAGGAAACTCATGGTGATGAAGATTTGGCGGTGGTGGTCTTTCTCGGTTGTCTTCATCATCGTTCCTATGGTGATGAGTGTGAGAATGATGAGCGTGACCGAATGGGAACTCCATTTCTTCGATTCTGATCGACTTTCTTCAATCCTACCTGCTACTTCCTTTTTACCTTTGTTTTAGTCTTTTTTTTTAAGATATTATCTTTGTTTAGTCGGGTTGAACAGTTTGGCTACTTAACTATATCAAATTAAAAAATAGGGTACAATTTTACAATGGTCATTAAAGTAACTAAAATACCATTTTTAGATATTAAATTATTATAAATTATAAAATAGACACTAAACTTTTAATTTTACTTCAAAATGAACACCGTACCGTTTCTATCCTTAATTGAGAATATAGAACACATTAAAATTGATAAATAATATCTCATTTGATCTCTCAATGTAACCAAAATTTTATTTTGATACTTTTATAATACTTTTAAATAATAAGTTATAAAAATTTAAAAAAAATCAGAGAATTTGTAAAAGTATTTGAAAATTAATAATTTATTTTTAAAACAGTAAAAGTATTTTTAAAAATTAAAATTTTACAACTTTGTAGATCATAAAATTATTTAATTTATATATACCCAGTAGTCAATTGAGTACGTATAAAAGAGTGTCACAAATGTACAATATCTGGTACATTTGTATACTAAATTGAATAAAAAACAGATTTTAATGACATTAAATAAATAACTTTACCTCTGACAATATAACATTTTTAATTGGATTTGGTTAGGATAATAAATTGATTTGGTTAGCTTGCCTAATTGCTGATGCTCTTGCTTTAAATTCTTACCAAATTTCTATCGTGGGATACTCATGGGCCTTTATGGCTACATAGTTTGAATTAAGAATGCACCATTAATCCTTCTCTATTATTTTGATTTATTATCTTTTAGGGTAAAGTACACAAAATGATATCCAGATTATAGGATACTGTTTTATTAACTCATTTAATTATTAAAAATTATAAAATGATTCTTAAACTATATAATGTTATTTTGTTAAGTTCCTCGACTATTAAAAGTTACAAAATAATCACCCGACTATTTAATATGCTCCAAACTCGTCTTTTGTCGATAAAAAATTGATCATTGTCTAAGTTGAACGTTAACATGATGACTAAGATATTATAGTCGTTTGAGATTATGAGATCAGATTTTATCATATCACAATCAACATGCTAATGTTCAACTCAGAATACCGTCAAATTTATAACGTAAAAGGATGAACTTAGAACATAATAAATAGTCGGGTGACCATTTTATAACTTTTAATAGTCGAGATATTCAACAAAGTAATACTATATAGTTGGAGGACCATTTTATAGCTTTTAATAGTTTAGGGACCATATTTGTACTTTACCCTTTCTTTTGTTGGACGTTGAAGTAGACGTGATGTAACGTTAAGGACGAACTAGTTTCAGAAAGAAAATTAATACACGTGTAAAGAAAATATTAAATAAGGGTAGAAGATTTTGTGTATCATTTTTCTATTGGAGGGTTATAATTGGCCAAAATATTTTATGTCTCAGTGTTAGACACCTGGTAAATAATTGAATCATTTGTTTAAATAAATCTTTAACTTTTCATATCTAAGTCACCTTGAGGTATATTATATTATATTAATTATAAATAAGGGTAGAATATTGGTATATTTTAGTGAAATAAAATATTATAAAATATATTAATTATTTATTAAAGTAATAGTGTTATATTATATTTTAAAAATATTAATTAGTATATTTTAAATATTTTTACTAAAATATTATTTAAATATATAAATAATATTATTCATTATTAAATATATAAAAAATTAATTATATATTATTAAAATAAAAAATATAATATCTTATATTATTATAATATAATTGATTATATTATTAAACTAAAAATATAATATTATATGATGAAAATGATATTAAAATATTTTATTAATATTAAATTCATAAAATAAAATTATTTTGAGTATTTTTGCTTTGAAGTGAAAAGTTCGGAAAATGAATCCGTAAGTCATTTTACAGAAAACACAAAGGAAATTCTGTTACTAGGAAAATGAATTACGTTCCGGAAAACGAATTACGTGAAACAAACACGAGAAAACATTATTCGGAAAACGAATTACGTAAAACAAACACGAAAAAACATTTTTCGAAAAACGAATTATATAAAATAAATACGAAATTTCAAGAAAAACTAATTCCGTAATTAGTTTTACGGCAAACAAACACACATTCTCCTTGACATTCCTTCCATAACCGAATATATGTGAGAGAGAAGACTAGCGAGCACGACAGTCTTCAAATTTTATGTTAAAAAAATAATTTTGAATTTTTAAAATTTTAAAGGATAAAATTAAATTTATAAATTTTTAAAAAGATAGAAAACAGATTTTTAATAGAAAGTATATAAAAAAAATTAAAATATATAATTTTTTTAAAAGTTCATGTGAATGAGTCCCCACTAATCAGCGTTTCCTCGATCCATCTCTACGAGAGGTTGAAGTTATCTATAATTAAAAGGAGCCTCTAATTTAGAACAAGTTTTGGAAATTTAATGAGATAAGTATAAACGTTTAGGGGATGTTTGGATGGGGGAATACGGGATTCCTATGGGAATGAAATCTATATTTCCCCGTTTGGTTAGCTCGAGAATCCCATTCCCGGTAATGTAAGATTACCAATAGTGGATTTTTTGGGGTATATTACCGGGAATGTCATTACCTCCATTTCCTTAAGTATTGTTGGATTATCGACGTTTTGGACTAAAATGCCCTTAATTTTTTTTTCAAAAATATATTTCTTCTGTCATTAAATAATAAAAATTCTACGAAGATTAAATTATAAATTTATCCTTAAACTATTTTAGATTTACAAAAAAGTCTATAATTAAAATTTTATATGAAGTTCAAGGGTTAAAATAAAATTTTTACCCTTTCATTAAACCTTTTTATATTTTAAATTTTGTAAAAAATTATATAAATTTTATGAATTTAAATTTTTAAAGAAAATATATAAATATTTTTCAACTTGTTAAAAAAAGCAAATATATAATAATGATAGTTTGATCAAATATACATTCCAATAATATTTTATTCCTTTAACCAAACACGGTAATCTTACATTCTTGCTAACCCAACCAAACACAAAATACAACATTATCAGTAATTATATTCCCTGGTAATCTTACATTCCCACTGGTAATCTTACATTCTCACTGGTAATTTTACATTCCGTGAACCAAACGTACCCTTAAGGTAAGAATAATTAAAATATTGTGTAATTTGCTTTAGAAATAAGGAAAAGATACCCTAAGCCCTCAATTTTTTTTAATTTTAATTTGATATGTTGAATATAAGAACATTGATTGATCGTCAAAATTTTATGTATAAAATGTGTTATAACTTATATTTTGAATCGAAGCTCAAGAGGAAAGGGGAAAGACAAAATAGACCATTCATAATTTAGTTCGATTTATTCGTTAACCAAAAAATAGATCAGTGTAATCAATAATTAATTTAATTTAATTTAATTTTGTTTTTGTAAAATTATATGTTAAATGTGTTTTATTTTTCTATAATATGAATAATAACTTCATTTCTTGAAAAAACCCATTTATTGTAACTTCATTTTTCCTGTATTGAAAGAGGAGATGAACTTTTAATTATTTATTTTGGGTTATTTTAAGGTTGGAAAAATTTATGCTGTCTGTTGAATTAGAACGAACTTGCAGTAGATATAAGTTCAATTGTTTTCAATGTGAATGTTGTATTTTAATCTGATTGTTGGGATTCCATTTTTTTCTCCATTTATTGATTCTTTAGGTTTCATAGAGCGAAGATGAATGATCTTATGACCAAAACGTTTATGAACTATGTCGACCTCAAGAAAGAGGCAATGAAAGATCTTGAAGCCGAACCGGACCATGATGTTGAAAGTATTAAAATGGTTTTCAAGTTTGGTAACCAACTTTAAAAAAATGGTTTTCAAAGTTTGGTAAATGTTTCTTTGAAAATGGTTTTTAAAGTTTGGTAAATGTTTCTTTGAAAAATAGTTTTTCAAAGTTTGGTAGATGTTTGTTGAAAAATGATAATGAGATAATCACAATTAATCCCTAGGTTTTAGGGTATTTACAAGATTAAGTCCTTAAGTTTCAATTATAAATACCCTAGCTCATTTAGCTTCAAAATCATCCCAAAAATCATTTTCTTTCTCCCAATACTAGAGAGCTTTCTTGTGAGTAGTGAGTGTTTTGTAAACACCTGTAAATTTTCTCTCTTAGTAAAAGATCTGCAGCAGTCCGGAGACGTAAGCACAATTGGCTGAACTCCGTTATCAATTTCGGGTATTATGTTTTCGCTTTTATTTCGCATTCTCACTAATCTGATTATAGGGAAATTACTTGTACCATGGTTTATTTCCTAACAACTGGTATCAGAGCTTTTGGGTTGTGAATTTTGTCAATTTTTTGCGAGGTAACTATTTATTACTATTCACATGAATAGTAAATTTTGTGAATAGTGAAATTTTGTCGGCAATATGAATTTGTCGACGGAGGTATTATAATACACGGTGATTCGCACAAATTGTCAGAAACGATCCGAAGAAACAAGATTCGAGTGGGAGTGATGGCTGCAGACGAAGGGAAGGTGAAAATTGAAAAGTTCGATGGTGCGGACTTTGGCTTTTGAAAGATGCAGATCGAAGATTTTCTGTACCAGAAAAATCTATATCAACCCCTCTCAGGAAAGCAACCAGAGGGCATGAAGAATGAAGACTGGGCTCTTCTCGACCGACAAGCCCTCGGAGTTATCCGACTGACGTTGTCCCGAAATGTTGCTTTCAACATAGCAAAGGAAAAGACCACGGCGGGTCTTATGGCAGCTCTCTCCAGTATGTATGAGAAGCCATCGGCCTCAAACAAAGTTCATTTGATGAGGCGATTATTCAATTTGCGGATGACGGAAGGGGCATCAGTGGCTCAACACCTAAATGAACTCGACACAATCACAACCCAGTTGAGTTCCGTGGAAATTGAATTCGATGATGAAGTTCAAGCTTTAATTCTCTTATCATCTCTACCAGACAGTTGGAATGCTACTGTTACAGCAGTCAGCAGTTCGTCGGGAA